GTCCCTTCACCTCTGCGACCAGAGATTTTGGAGGCTTGCCACGACGATCCATCAGCTGGACACTTAGGAGTAAGCAGAACGTTAGCACGCACGCAACCGCACTAAATACTACTGGCCGAAGTTGCTTAGCTCTGTACGACACTATGTCAGAACCTGCCGGGACTGCCAAAGACGTAAAACGCCACCGCTAAAACCAGCAGGTCTCCTTCAACTGATAGAACCACCAGAAGCCCCAATCACACAAGTGGGAATGGACTTACTGAGCCCATTTCCTACGTCGTCATCGAAAAAACGGTGGATAATAGTTGTGACCGACTATTTAACCAGATATGCCGAGACAGCGACTCTTGTTAAAGGATCAGCCGTTGAAGTAGCCGAATTCTTCGTCTCCAACATCGTACTGCGGCACGGAGCTCCAAAAGCGTTGATCACAGACATGGGTGTGGATTCCTGTACGAATACGTGGCCTGTCAGAAAAACTGCTTCGCCGCTATTTCGGTCCGTACAGAGTGCTCCGCCGCGTCGGCTCGCTCAACTACGAAGTTATGCCAGAGGGACAGGATATTTCATCCCGACGGCGGCATCGCACGGAAACTGTGCATGTCCTCAGGATGAAGCCATATCACGACAGGCAATGAAACGCTCAAGATACAACGTTCTTTGACGTTAACGACATCCCCGATGAGGGTTTGTGAATGACTGCCATGCAACCAGTTCGACACAAGCATCGGGACGATGCACTCTGGAAAGGGGGGCAATGACGTAATGTGACTTTAAATTACGCGCGCTAGCAAATACTTGTGCGTTCTAGATGATTTGCGACGCACGAGCCTGCGGGACCCAGCTGCGCGTGAACCGTGTTGGAAAAAAGAACGTAGAAGAAGAGGCAGAAGTGAATCCTCGAGAAAATCTAGCTGTGTTATTATTCTCGGGCACAAGTTCGCCCTACCTACGTTAGCCGATTAAAAGAGTTCATTGAAGAGTGCGTTACAATATGCACAGAAATTGTACATCGTACAATATATGGCCACGATATGCTAAGACAGTTTGCTTAGCCAGTAGCTACAGCCCATAGGATGAACACAAGCACCACTACAAGCGTGGTGCGATGATTAAAAAAAATTACTAACATACCGCGTCGCATATCTTTAGGTTTTTTAAAATGCAAAGTAACAGGTGCGCACGTAGTATAGTTTGTAGTGCGACCACACACTTAAAAACCCAGAGCATTCCGCATTTGTTCGCTTTGAAACATAGTCTCGCATGTTTCCATGCCGACAGCTTGCAACAGAACTGCCATAACACGCATACACGGTCACAGAGGAGTCTGCTTGTTTATATTAAGGCTGACATCTCTGGCAGCCAGACGCCACTGAGATGGAAAGTAAAGACATTTTATAACAGCCTTTGGTATTCCTGTCCTTGTTAAAATGATAGCTGTCTTTAAAAAAGCAATACTAACAGCATGTTTTGGCCAAATTTAAGATGCGTAATTAGCCTTACACCATTAAATACTGCTGTATTTATTGTGGGACAAAAACAGTTGAAGGAAATTGTAGGTAAAGTAGAATTATTCGCTGTCCCAGAATTCTTTTCTTTTGGTTCCACATTTCTTAGCCAACCCCCCCCCCTTTCTGAATGCCTTTTTCCAAAGTAAACATGGCCCCCATGATGTACAGGGTGCTTCAAGAAATGTGTCTAATATTGTTTAAAAATCTGCAAAAGACGCTATTTGCTCATCGTCTTCATGGTTGGTTTTTATGTAGCAGCAGGCATCTAAGAAGGCTGAAGACATCACTTGGAACAGTTATTAGAAAATTAAATAATTAACTTTTTAATGAAATGATTTGGGCAGTTACATCAAATGGAAGAATTTAGGTCTTTGATGCGAAAAAGCTATTGCCGCTTTGAGATCTCAGAAAAGCGGCCACTAGTAATAGCTACAAATTAATTAAATTCTACCATGAAACTGAAACCAATGGACTAAACAACGCAACAAACAGATGACTACAATGAAGTCACTGTTCAAAACAGCAGTAACAGGGCTGCAGTTTTTCCCTGATGTGCGATTTCCGTTCGTCTGTGCAAACCACGTGGTACGGATTTTTTGCTGGCTGTGAGTAGCGGCAGGTAGTGTGAGTGTGGCAAGCATGGCGTCAAAGCAGTGCAAGTCGCTAATGCTAGAAGAAAAGGTTGCCCTAATTAAAGAAGTGGAGAAAGGTGGCCGAACGAAATCGAGTATCGTGCAGCAATTCAACATCCCTTTGTCTACGCTTTCGACAAAGCTGAAAAACAAGCAGAAGGTGCTGGATGTATTCTTCAGCCAGCAGAAGCCGGTTCGAGGGACAAAGTTCCCCAACTTTGAAGCGCGTTGATGGTATGGCTGTGAAATGCCAGAGCGGCCAACTTTCCTGTCACCACAACAATAATGATGGAGAAGCCTGGTCTTGCACGGCACACGGACTTCAGCTGCGGCAAAACACAGCCGGTTAAAGTATGTTCATTTTTTCTCTTTTATGTCTGCACGAGAAGAAAGATTAAAAACTGCCGCTGAAGATCCGGTAAGTAATAGCGACTTTTTTTAAAAGCGTTCATTTTTCCCTGTGATCAGTGCAACTTTGCTTACCGTATTTACTTGCGTGATGAATAAACTTTTTTTTTTTTTTTTGAAGATTGAAGCAAAGTTGATGGTGCATTTATTATATGGGACAAATTTTATGAAAACTTTTTTGAGATGAGCAAAAAAATGCGGAAATGCCCAAAAAGATAGGTCGCTTAGCCTTTCGCAATTAACATTCGCATACACTGTTTAGAAACAGCTTCTTGGTTGCACTTTACTCATTTTTAGTGGTTGATGGCGTTTCCTTCTTCAAGAGTTTCCCGTGCAGCCCGCGCATGCCATAAAAACGTTTCGCAGCTATCTTTTCTCGCAATCCTTTAATAGCAACAGTGGTACTTGCTGTTATCTCAAAGAGACCCAGAAGTGTGCGCTACGACGCACTTTGCCAACTTCGTGGCAGCCTCGCACAATGACGCCATTGACACTGTAGCAAATAACATACGTTGCAGCAAGCTATCGCCGAAGCATAAAAAAAACGTCGATAACAAGATTAACGGCAAAATACAGACGCCGCCTCACTATTCACATGCGGGTACTAGAGAAAAGATAGCCTATATTTTGCGTTCCTTGAAGTGCACGCAGACGAAAAGCACGAAGAAAAAATTGGAACTGAAGCGAGAATCGAGAGTGCTACCATGTTACGGAATTAGTCACCGATTTTTTCTGGGTGACAAGCGATTTTTTTTTTTTGCTGGTTTTTTAGAAACCTGCGACGCGATGGGGACGAATGGCCCTTCGCAACAGCCATGGTGACAGCAAATTCTGTCGTCACTACAAAAGTTCGTTCATGTACTTGGGCCTCAAAGTTTCGTATTGCAGGAAGCAACTGTCAACTGGCGCGAGCAGTTTCTTGACCATTGCTCACAGTGTGCTCATCAGCTGCGATGTCTCTACTCTCGCACCATTCGTAAACCCCGCAGTAGAGCACGGTAAAAAAGAGAAGAAATTTCTCCAAGGCTAGAATTTGATGTAAAACCAAAGCTCTGTAAAACCAAATGCCATCAGAGGATTGGATGGTAAATTTGTGAAGCTAGAAAGCGATGACAGCGTGGTTATCAGTGCACTTCGCAACATCAAGTTATTTTAGTACAACTAACGCCAGCAGGTTGAATCACATTCTCAAAGTTTTGGACAATTGCATGCACTGGACAACAAACTGGCCATGTATTACTCTGGTGTGGGCCACCGTATCATTTTCAGCTATTGGAAATGTTTGAGAAGTATGGAACATCAACAAGCAAAGAAAAGCAAGGATCCCTAAATTTATGTTTCTGTTACTGTAATAGCGTTAAAGTCGCTACTTATGATTCATAATGACAAAAATTAGTGAAGTGTCATGGTGTGAATATGAGTTTGCTGGTTTCTTCTTACTACGAGAACTGCAAAAATGAAATCACACGCACATCCGATTTCCATATAGTTGAGCATTCTATTGTCAATGTTATGTTAATTGTCTACTTTGGACTCATAATGCGCGTGCTTCTTCAAGCTGGCAACACAATAAAATTAGGGCAAGTACTGCTGAATGAATGCAATAGTATGGAAAAGTTGGCTCAGTTTGTTAGGTACCATATTTAGGTAGCGATAAAGACTGGGTGAACCAGAAGGGACATAGATGGCGCTCGTCTGTGTCCACTCGTGGACACAGCGCTCGTCTGGCTCCCACTCGTGGTGAGTGAGGCGTGCGGAGCACGGTAGTGAGTTTTGTACACGGTGTAAAACACTGGTCTCTCGAGTTTGCTTTGTAAACAGCGGCGACTGAGCGCGGCACGTCTTCGTGATTTTAACTGAGCGACTCTTTACTCATCAGCTTCTTCCCTTTGCAGGTCAGTAGTTGCTCACATGTTTTGACGGGATTTGAATGGCGTAGGCTGCCTTTCCCAGACGTTTCACCCCTGAAGAAGCCGAGTGTCGGGCCGGGGGACGCCTGTGCCCATTTGGAAAACCGGTGGGTGACCGGCGGTAACGCGGGTTTGAACCCACGACCTCTCGCAGCCGAAGCGGACACTCAACCACGAGGCCATGGCTGCACAGATGGCGCTCGTCTGTGTCCCCTCTGTTTTACTCTGTGTTCATTGTTGCGCCGTTCCAAACATACTGCCAAATGATTCAATCCTGGGTAGGGTAGTTTTATTCTGCCTGTCACTTAATTCTAACAAATAATTTGACTAGCTTTGCCAGTCCCCTCAGGTGATAAATGAAAGTCAACTATAACCTTGAAGTAGTCTTTTCCAATTTAACAAGAAACCTGCTATGCAGAACATGTAGGGAGTTTCGCGAGCACATGAAAAAGTGGGCATTTAAAAATGGCCACAGAAAATGCAAATGATTAAATAAACAACCATGTTTTTTAAAGACAAAGTACAACCATTATACGTACCTCTTTTCGACAGGGATAATGCCCTCCATGCCTTTGTTGCAGCTGTCCTCAACTCGGCTGCCAACTTGGTGCCGGTGCTGTTCTTGGAAAGTTAGATTGAATTGGCTGTAAAATGCAAGCACGACAGTCACAACATGATTAGCCGAAAACTGAGCTAGGCAGCAAAAGTGACTTAATACACAGTACACAAAATGAAAATACTCTTAAGGGAAGATCAGACTCGAAAATGTTTTTTCCAAACTTACACATATTTTGTTTTTAATTGCTTTTCCAAGTTTACTCATTGTCTAGAGTCCCCTAGAAACTGTCCCCTGGCTGGCTGCCGTTGCACTTCACACGAGACATTCACCCAAACCACACGCTCAAAACAACCATGATTCCCAAACTGCCGTAACTGAAGAAGTCATTTTGATAGATTTGATTGATATGTGGGGTTTAACATCCCAAAACCACCATATGATTATGAGAGACGCTGTAATGGATGAAGAAGTCATTTTAAAGAGTACATCATTGCCTCTCTGATTAGCTTTCACTTGTGTGTGTTTGAAATGCGTTTTTTTTTTCTTGAGATGCAATTCTGGGCGACTTCTTGAGTTTGTAAGTCATGCTTTTGGTACTTCCGATGGCCAAATCAAGATGAAATTCATGCCTCGTATTCCTCAACATTTGAAGACTGCTATTCTCTCTATGAAAGCATAACATCACTTATTTAACTATTATGAAGTTATAGTAGGCAATTAGCATGAGCTGTGCACTTAAACGTTATTTTTTTAGGTTCATTTAAGAGGGCTGACCAGTGCGAGTACCCACATATGTGTACTTTTTGAAGTTCTAGCTTGTCCAAATTTGGTCAGATTTACACAAGCTTTTCGGCACTGTATTCCTTTTTGGTGTATGGAACAAATGTTGCGTGTTGCAACAGATTTTCTACTCACTTTTTTTTTTGTACTTTTGTAGTCTTGCTCTTTTGTTGTACTTTTGTAGTCTCGCTCTTTTTTGTTGTCTCCTAAAGAGGTGTGTGTGTGTGCACATACAGGGGCTCTCAGATAACCTGAACCAGGATTTTGACAATAAAAGGCACTTCAGAGGCGAATCGAACTAAACGTATACTATTCTCACGAGCCTGTAGATACTCCGATTTTTGTTTCCTCCTAAGCTAATTACTTAATTATATTTAATTATCATGATTTAATTATTGGTAGAAAACCCAAAATATGTTCACCGAGCTGTGAAGCACTTTCAGAAACCACCAACTCAATTGTTTTCTGTACGATATAAGCGTCACTGCGATTTTTTTCGGGTTGTAAAGAAGGCTCGAGAAGGCTGTAAAAGCCGCGTGACGAACCGCGAGCGTGCTTTAGTCGCTGGTTTTTGAAAGGGCTTTACAGCTCAGAAGTTATATTTTGGAGTTTCAGCAAATAATTAAAATTATTGGTTATTAAATATTTATATTAGGTGGAAATAAAAAAAAGTCAGAGTATCTACAGGCTAGTGCTAATAGTATACATTCGGTTCAATTCGCCTCTGAAGTGCCTTTCATTTAAATCTTGGCTCAAGCTGCGGGACAGCCTATGTATATGAAGTGTTACTATGCATCCGTTTTTGGTGCCTTCGAATAACGTTAGGTTTTTCGTGCACAAAAACTTCAATATGAAAGAGAGCAACGCACGTATCTATCGCATCTTCGAATTTTCTTTGAAAGGTATTTTCCCAAAGTAGCCGTTCCATCTATGTGACTAAGTTGTTTATATGGCGACGTAGCAGATCACAGAGTTTCAGTTGTTCAGTTGTTAATCGTGGCGAGATGATTCCGCCTACAAATAATAAAGCTAGTAAGTTGCAAATACGATTGTGGGATGCCATGTGAATGGAAGGACCCATTCCAACATAAACAGAACTGTTTATTAGCGTAGTAGCAGCGGCGTGGTTAGCATGCCGCCTCCGTGCTCAGACGGTTAGAGTAACAATGATAACTTCTGAGCTTGGCAGCTTGGGTTTACAGCCACCAGTGGCGACGTAAGCCTCCGGTGACACTGTCCCTTACGGAGGTGTGTTGCAGCAAGTGGCCTTGTCACGCTGGGGTTAATAGTGACGAGATGGAGGCTGTGCAAGTTTGTGCGCAGTGGTCATCACATCACCTCCCGCGGAGTACAGAGCTCGCAGGGTCTGTAGAAATCCGGGAGGCATACCAGACGTCGAGAGCGTGTCGAAGAAAGGAGCAGGCTGCGACGTCGGCGGCTGTGGGTAGATGCCTGTGGAAGGAGTGGCACTACCCGGTTCGTTCGCAGTGAAGTATGCTGGCTTGAGCCGGCCAGTCGAGACACTGACGTCGTTCCCATTCACGCGCAGAGTGAAGCTCTTGTCATCGCGATGGACGACTAGGTAAGGTTCGTTGTAGGGCGGCTGGACAGCATGGTGTGGTACGGTGAATGATTGTCAACACTAAGTATACCTTGATGCTTAGTTGTTGGGCGGTTTTTGGCTGGCCTGGTATGAAATGTCCCATTGTGGCGTCAAGGAGACGGTCGTGGCGGCAGCCCGAGAGGCGGTTGTAACGTGCCAAAAAATGCGAGCCGATGATTGGTTCAGCAAAGTCGGTGATGGCAACATTCCAATGAAGGTTGGGCCTAGGTTCTTGAGCTGGATGTGCTGGCGCAGCAAGCCGTACATCTTGATTGTGGACCGGTTTGAACGCCTTGAGCCCGAAAGATGTCGGCGGGCGAGAACTTTGAAGATGGTCTGTGGGTAACAGCAGATGTCAGAACCGCTATCGACAAGAAATCGCTGCTTTGTGATTTGGTCGGTGACGAGAATGCGACAACCTCCAGGTTGGCAGCTCGCAGCCGAGCCTAGGAGCAGCCGTTGGCGCTTTCCTCGTGCCGAGCGGAGCAGAGTGGTTGACATTGTCGGACTCTGTCCTCGAAGCATCGGTGGTAGTAATACCGGCCATACTCACCAGGCTGCTGTGACGAGGCGGTGTTGTGGTCTCAGCTTGGAGAGGGAAAGCGTGGGCGCCTGTGTTGATACAGGTATTGTTCAATAAAGCTGAGCTATCTTTCGTTGTTGTCGATGTGGCGCGCAAGCTTGCGGAGAGTTCTTCCGGGTCAGCCATGGAGATGCGGTTTGTTTGTTTTTGGTGTCTCCAGATGTGGGATGCTGAGATTGGTGCTGGCGAGTAACTTCCACATGCAGTGAAATAGGACTGTTCAGCGATTTATTGGCCGGCGACCTTTTTAGGAGTCTTCTTCAAAGCCTGCTTGAAAACACGGTTTCTTTGTGCATCTGCGATATAATCAGGCTCACGAATCTAAAGGCCACGGCTCCTTCTTGGATTTTTTGAGCCTGTGTAACATCTCGTTTTTCCAAAATGCTTCATTCCTAGAAATTTCCTCAATGCTGATGCCTTTTTTGTCTACACCATGAACAAGCACTTCTCACGATGAGAGATATTCATCTGGCCTGGTACTTAATACCAATAATTACAATTTGACCTTAGCTGCAATTTGATGTCCTCAGTTTCTGTGCAGTATGTTATTTTTTTCTCACGAACTCCTTCTAGTGGAGTAAAGTCCCTTGCCGAATGAACATCGATTTCGACAAGAACGTCCTCACTAATCAAACCATCCAGAGTAGCTCCTAGGAAGGAATTCTCTTGGTCTACGAACAGGCCACACTCTTTTACCATAACTTTGCACTCACTTTCAAGCTGCTTCAGAGCAATACACTCGTGGTCCTTTCCATATCTGACGGCTTCGGAGCTTATTTCCTTGTACAAGATATGTCCAACGGTGCATCTGCATCCTGTTGTTGGTTTCATTTTACAAATGGTACCGAAAAGTACTGCCGTAAGCCTCTTCCGCCTTGTCTGTTTCCAGAGACATAATCAACTCTACTTGGATGTTGCTTTCTGCAGGCCTTCAATGCTCGTCATGGACAGAGAAAGTGATTTTACGAAGCTCTTAAAAGCAGTTGCCAGAGCGTTGTCTGGCATGCGGTAATCAACATCAGCACCAGGATGAGGCCCTGTGACTCTGCCTTGGTAGCAGGGTGTGGTTGATACCTTTTTCGTCAGCTTTCTCTGGTTTCTTTCGAGCAAATAATGCTTTCACAAATGATGCTGTACGTTTTCCAAGCTTTCCTCCCGAAATTCTTGGGGCAATAGTTTCATGATAAGCCCCTTTGCAGTTCACCGATAAACAAGCAGCAAAACACCTTGTTTTGTAGGACGCTTTCATCGAATATTTTATTCATTTTCCACCAACCAACTCTGCCATGATGGAGGGGTAGTGCTCGGCATCATGTTGTCTATGTCCATTAAAAGGCTTGCAGCCTTTGCGGCCACTCTGCTCATGGCAACACGAATTTCCTCATATATGCCTGTTTGGATGATCAGAGGTAAGTTTTCTTCTCCGGCTTTGCTTCCAGAACAGAAGTAGTCGGCGCACTTGCTGTGGTCTCCAAATACATAATTGGGGCCACTCTTTAAAGGCTGGTGCACACCGGCGACTAGCAGCGGTCGCGCGACTATTTGCAACTGGCCGAAAACAGTCGCGAACAGTCGCAAAGCGACTGCTTTGGCTAGTCGCTTCCTGACCGATTTTTCCGTCGTGCGACTGCAGTCGCAAAGCTGCTGGAACCAATCAGCGATGCTCAATTTTCATTTTGTTTTTTAGTTGCACTGGCTTCCTGCCGCCAGATACAAACGAGTGCGTTCCTCTGGGTCTGTGGCACCATGGCCACCACGGAATACTTGGCTTGGAGATGGCGGGGCGCAGCAGCTCGAGCAAAGTGTCGAATTTACGTGGCGGTATTCGTAAGAAAGTGAACACCGTCAAAGTAAAGAGAAAATAATTTGTGCACTATCTTTTCCCCGTATTCAGAACCATATTATTGTCTTAACCTTCAATGCAGCGCATTTGGAAAGCGTTTGTGCTTCATGCCTTGGCACCGACTTAAGACACCTCGTTCGAGACGCGTTTGTGCTGTATTGTAGGCTGTGGCAAGTCAATTTAATTTTAAGGATAGTTTCTGAATACGTACGACTCTCGGAAATACTCCTCGTCGTCTCAGCGTAGCTCGGGAGGCAGGCGGCTTGCATGGCCGGC